CATGAGTTTGATACTTGGTACCAACAAATAAATAAATATACATTTTAAGTTATATAATTTTAACTAATGGTTCAAAGTGTTTTAAATGTTGTTTTTCTCCATGAGTTTTGTTTTATTCCATTGTAAGCAATGAATTTTAAGTAAGCCATTTGGTTTAAATGTAAAAGGCAAGGGTAAACAAAAGTAAAATTTTGAAGAATTCTTTTCTTTCTGACCTTGAAATGGAAAATGAAGGATAGTTAGAACCAAGAATGAACAGTCTTTCACACTGCGAAGAGTATCTCTGGATTTTTGGTTTTGGTTTTGGTTCTTTTGAATGAAGGTATTAAGTACCACAAATTCTACTCTGCTTCGTTACCTTTAATTTAGCTGAAGGTCATTCCTGGTTTCAGAGATTAAAATCTGGGCAAACCAATCACTGGTGTCAGGGAGAGTTGCAATGAAGGTTTTAAAGTCCAAAAGAGAAGAACTCCATGTTAATCTCCTTATCAGCATCTTCACTTTGCCACAAGGGCAAATTACGGGTATTACTTTTGTTACCACCAACCTAAAATGTTAGGCTGAAAAAGAATCTATCTCATATTATGACCACTTGGATTCCACATACAGATTTATGCATAGTGACATGTAAATTACAGTGCTCAGTATATCTCTGAAAATTTAATTATAATATACGCTGTTTTGGCCTAGTAATAAAAAGAAATGGGATAAAAGGAAAAGAAATGATCTGTAGATTGCCATGGTATACTTAACCAAATTTCTACCCCAGGATGTATAATTAGAAGGTAATTATTTCTTTTAAGTTTTGATTATTTTCTTGGTTATAGTTAACCAGCTATGAGCCAAGTTGCAAATGTGGATCTGTTTTGGTGTGAACCCTTCCCTCTGAACACTCTCCTAAAGATTTTGTTAATATGATACGTCAAAATTAAGTTCACATTTTGCTTTCTCAGGAAGCCTTCCTTGTCCAGTGCTGATGAAACAGAACCTTCCAAGCCCTCCATAGTCTCAACTCACCTGAAATCTTGGTAACGGCTCACTTACACCATCTAACTGTGGGTAACTTCTCAGCACCCTCTCATTCCACCACTCCTTTCTCTGCTGTTTTCCATACTAGTTTCCTTGATCTTTCCAGGATCGCACATGAATTCCTCCTCTTGAATACATTTCCTCAACATCTATGAGGTTAACTCCTTGACTTCTTTACAGAGCGCTTCCCAAATGTCACCAATTCAGGAGGGCCTTCCTGACCACTATCTCTAAAACAGTAGCCCCTATCATCCTTCTTATAGTCCTCTATGCCTCTGTTCATCTTGTGACTTTTATTAGCATGTAAACACCTTTAGATTTTACCAGTCTTGCTCATTATCACTGTCATGGTGCTTAAAACAATGCTTGGTATATTGAACAAATTAATTAATAAGTCTGTGATTATCTGTCTTACCCTTTAGTGTCTTATGAAGCACAGAACCAGATACTTTGCTTCTAATATTCCCATAACATCTTGCATAGCATATATGATAAATGAATACTGGAGGAATGGATGAATAATTTGTTGTTTGGGCTTGGAAGTTTTGTTAAAATCTCGTCCTTCCTGCTAGGAGTTAATTGGATGAAAATTAGAATTATCTTTGCTTAGCCTCTCAACCTATACTTATTCCACAGGAATCAGGTGCCTACTACTTACTCAGTAAGTAGTGAGGAATAGCAAGTACTGGGGCTGGAGTGAACAAAAACTTTCCTTGGAATGATCCAGGGGTCTCCATGGGATTGGGGCTGACATCTTCATGGCAGAAGGACAGCAGTTCGCAGGGCCATGGAAACGTCAGCTATCCTGCTCATTTTGAGGACTCAACTTGGATCTTGAGAAATCCTGCTTCTCAGAGAAGACCCAAGAAGCAAGCTTCAGACTTTGGAACATCTTTTAGTTAGTAACTTCTGAATTTAAGATGCAATAAATAGTAATTTCAGTGCACAGCTTGGATTTGTTTGTTTAAAACCTTACCCAGATGAATAAATTCACTGTGTCAAAGGGCACTGAGTATAAATAATTAAATTTAAACATAAAACATCCACCAAGGAAACATCTTTTATCAACTATCTTTTGTGTTTTCTATTTGTAAAATAATGATACTAGGAAACAAAAGCAGAAGTTCTAAAATTATGGATGGTGAGTTCCCATGATGCTCTGGGAAAGCACTGTCAAGCATCTTCTTTCCTTCCTGCCCTCTTCCCACTTGGTACCTTCCTAGATTACAAATCATAGCTTTGATGGCTACTGTTGTTCAAGGAATTCTTGCAGGTGCACAGGAGAAAGAAAGAGAACCCACTCGCTATCTCTCCCATCTTATCTTTTCCAATGCCTGAATGTTGTAACCACTATGAACCATGCTTCAGTTCACTACTAAATCTCCATATTTAGTAGTACTTGAGTTCTTGCTGTCTTTATTTTACTAACACTAACTTGCATTACTTTTTGATCTTGAGTCAGGGATAATGGCAGGCATTGAAAATCCAAAAATGAATCCAGAAATGGTCTTTTTCCTCAAAGAGCTCCACACATTGTGAAGACAAATACAACAGAGGGTGATACAAAGCTCTAGTGAGACTGAAACAGTGGACAAATTTAGAACACATCAAAGAGTACCACCAAAGCAGCCTGGGAGAGGAATGACCTGTGAGACCTCCCAGTGGGTGACTAAACACTGAGTCCTAACTTTGATTAATTCCATTATAGGCTGCTAAAGCCACACCAGGTCTGAATAATCCGAGCGCCTCCTGATGTGGCTGAGGGAAAGGAAGGTCTAAAGAGGTTAACTGACATTCTTTTTTTTTTTTTTTTCATAATTTTATTGAGAGACAAATAGTAATGTGACAGTTTCAAATCAAATTGGTATGACAATTTCAATAATTAACACATTGCATACTCTCTTCCTAGTGGTTATTTGCTGTACAAGATGCAGACATGAGCAAAGAGAAGAGCTAGGAAACATGACAGTGGCAAGCCATACAGTTATATGTAGAAGATGGGTAAGGCAATGATCCTGAGAATCTTCAGAAGATTTTTGCATCTTGCAGTTAATTGGAATGATTCTCACCCTGACTAACTATATATACAGACACCTGTGAACTAAGCAACTGCACTGAAGATGGTAATCTGTACTAGTAGGTTCATGTTTGGAGTGCCTGTCATTCTGACATCCTATTTGAGCCCCAGGGGCAACCTGGACCCACAGGACTATCATCCGGCTGTCTCTTTCAACAGCCAATTTTTAAAGAAAAACTTTAGAAGTCCTAATTTCATCAATGTAATGAAACTAATCAACAAATGAGATGAAGGCAATGATCATAATAAGGTAGAGACGGATATTGATTCCCTGTGCAGTAGTGTTACCAGTGACCCCCATCTTTCGGTTAGAGCATGTGAGGTGCTGGTGAATTCATTGGGATCCACGCACAGCAGAAACGTCTCGCAGCATGTTTCCAGAATGCTGGCACACACCTGAGCACGCTGAGGAGGGCACGGGCAGTTTGCAGGTGAATGAGAACAAACTTTAAGAATAAATCTTGGTTTATCGGGTTAGCACCTCCTTTTGGGAACTAAGGCACGCCAGAAAATATATCTAGTAGTAGCAATGCTAGTACTAGTAGCAAAAGGGTATAAAATTTTCCAGGTAAGCAATCTTGGAATTTTGGGTTATACCCAGCACAGTTTTCACTAGGGATGTTTCATGACTGATTTAGTAACAATATAAGAGCACATCACATTAAACTAGGACTACTTGGGACATCCACAGTTTCTAATAGCTTGCCATCTGCTTGGCTCTTACTGGCAATGGATTTGCCCTGCTTAATGTAGATGATGATATGGGGGGAGTGAAATCAGATTATACGATGGATTTCTGAGCTCTTTGAATACTGTCATTAATCCACTAGCTTGTAAATCAAGAGTTCCCAACACAAAATCGATGATTTTTAATTTTTCAACTCTTACTCCAACTCGGTTGCTGTGGGCAGGCACATCTGGCGCCAACAGACACGAAAGTCACGCAAGCCCTCTCCCTGTGAGAGACCTTCCGCGCAGTTTCACCATATGCACAGCAGGATGCTCTTTTGCCTTGCTCAGTGCAAAAGCCCTTTTAGCGGGGCAAGCTCTCAATCATTTTCCTCGGAGCACATCATACCCAAATGGCCGCCCGGTCTCAGTCCGGCCGTGCGGGCTGGCGCTAGCGGGTGCCGGTTCTCCGCAGAGCCCCGGTACTCGAGCGCCTTCCGCACCGGGCGTCGGAGGCAAAAAGGAAACTCGAACGCGGGGAGAGGCGCAAGCCCGCCTAGGTCGCACCTGCGAGGCCCGAGCACCCGCGCCCGCGCCCGCGCCCGCGCTCCGGGGGCCCAGGCGGCTGCAAACCGCAGCCCCGCTCAAGGCAGCGCGCAGCACGCAGAGGGTCGCCGCAGAAGTTGA